TGTCGGTTATCACAAACATTTCTACCGCATTTTAATGCATTTAACTAGTGGGAAATTGACGATCTCCCAAAGGAGTGAAACCCACATCCAAGATCATCAACAATGTCTGGGGCCTGTGAACAATCGAATGAACCAATGGAAATATTCAAAGCCAAGTTGCAAGTTTGTTAGAAAATTCTCCGTCGGTGAGAATTTGTGCCAGGTGATGACTAATCCGGGGCATTTAAACAGATATTTACCGTACGATGAAAACAAAACGACCAGTGAATCAGTCAAGGGGATGCGTGGGTGTGATTTCCGAAGAGGCAGCAAGTGAAGGATGAGTGAAGTCAGAGATCATTTTTTTGTTGTTATTGAGTAAATGAAACAGACGAATAAAATCGCCAGATCAATTTATAAGAAGGTAGTTAACCCACAACAGATTGGATTGAAGATGACTCTACTCGGTCTGGGAGTAGTAATTTGGGGGAAGCATGCATGGTATCAACAGAACTGAAATTTTTTTTCAGTATCAAGCTTGGATTCGATTGTTCAGAAGTACCATGCACTGCTGATGAGTCCCGAAGAGGACGAAACACCTGTCCAGTGCTCTTTGTCGGTAATCATAAACATTTCCTTCGCATTACAACTGAAAAACAGCTAGGATTAGCGAAGATGCCATCGTTTAGTTCGTTTAAAAACTATTGCTTCATCCTATGAAGATACAGTGCTTATAAGTCTCACCCGGTTTTCGCACTATAATCAAGGGCAAAATCGATAAAAGAAGTGTGATTACAAAGTCCAGTTATCTCATGATCACTACAATGTCCAGGGAGGTGACTTTCGTTGCAATCGTATGAGTTCGTAAATTATGTCAACTAAGTCAATTACATATATTCGAACAACAGAACTCTGTATGGTCAAAAGTTCAGTAGCCTCGGTGGGATTCGAATCCACGCATGGACACCACCTACACTTTTGTACAGCGCACGCTCTACCCAGCTGAGCTACGAGGCCACACCGAAAGTATTGACCTGTCGGGGCAGTCAGCTTACATGCTAACTGGTGGATGCCATATAACTCTGTAAGTTGGATGGGTAATTCGAATGTGAAAAGATCAGTGCTATCGGTGTGGCCTCGTATCTCAGCTGATAGAGCGAGCGCTATACAAAGGCGTAGGCGGACCCCAAGCTTGGGTTCGAATCTCACCGAGGCTACTGAACTTTTCACAATCTCAACATAAAAACGACAAGTTTGCCAAATAAAAATTTGAACAATTATGGTTTCGATTTTTTGTAACGAAACAAAACTGCTACCCCCAGAAAGTGGAGGATCAAAGTGCGTACATACAAATTCCCAACTTTCGATTTTTTTTCCAATCACTGCATTTATGCATAGTGAAGTACATCAGATAGCCAATTCACTTAGGCATGGGATAGTCAACTTCCACGACAAGTTTTGTACCTCCCAAAGGAGTACAATAATGATCACTAATCGTACAGGTCATCGGGATTCGATTGGACTACAGAATCCAGGATTCGTGGCCTCAGTTCCGGCAGTTAGAACGTCTTGTCAAGATGCAATACAACTGGGAGGAATGATTAGGTGCTGGCGTGATGATTTAGTCGCCGTCACAGGCGGGCTTTGGCCCCTGTGGTCCGAAGCTCGAGCCCCGCCACCGCCACCCAACTTTGGTGGTAGGCAGTTTTGTTGTCGTCCGGTTCAATACCACTTCCAACCTATCGGGGGCCTTATGTGGTCCACCACTCCAAGGCCCGGGGTTTAGGTTACCGGTTTCCATCACTGAACAGCAGGTCCTCGTGACCATTGGGTTTACCCCGTTTGCTGTTCATCAGAAGAAAGTGTGTAATAAAAAAAGAAAACAGAACACTCTATAGGAGGTGACTACACGATCAGACCGATTCAGTGGCCCAGGCAAGCACACAACAAGCCAGTGAGACTGGTCCCGATCGTGCATCTCGATGACAATCAAATATACGCGCACCCGAACGATCCACGAACAGCAGAACATTTTTCTCCGTTACTACATTCATAGTTGGTCAATCCTGACTGACTGTGTTCAGACCCCCCCCCCATGAGTGCGTAGTTCAACATTTCTTCACTTTCAGCAAAAGCCACCCTGGGGGCCAGTGGAATCTGTTCTCACACGGACTAGATTATCGGAAAAATATGGTCTAGTATATCAGAACCAACCAGATCAACATTGCACAGCATCCTTTAGAGACAGTTTACACAGGCTGAACAAAACAGAATGATACTGCATGGGCGTTTGGGCGAACAATCGGTCCCAATCCATTCGTTTTTCGTGGTCTACACAGTAGTCAGTTGGAACAAAAGCCACTTGGAAGGAACTCGTGCTTGTTTTACATATCCTGCTAACTGTAAATAATACCCGAGCAAGTTATCGAGAAGCTGTCAGACATCGCGGTACAGTTGCTTCACTGTGGCTCGGTATTATCGCCCGTGCGAGTGCATCTATTTTAATCACGAATGGAGACCCCGATATCAAGCAGAACTCACTTCACTACCGAGCAGATGAGGATCAGACTATTTCACCTTACCCCAGCTATGTACCAGCATCAATCTTGGCAAGCCTAGCACGAGCTCATCACGTTCTTGATCACTTTATCAACTGTCTATTGAATTGAATTCCTATCGGTGAGTATTGGACCGCATCGGTCGGGCTCAGTCGTCCAATTCTAGTGGACTCTAACGAAGAGAACGCAAAAGATATATATATATATCTTGAAAATTACTCAGACTGCTACTTGAGTCAGTCAATCACTTCTTACGAAGACCCTCACATGTCTGCTAACGGATGCACAAAGGCAAAATGCTCGAACAGTATCCCGCTCCAAGTCAAGTCGATCGAATACACGGGGTTGATCAGTGTGTTTATTACAAAATCATTTCGACAGCATTTCTATCGGAGGGCTTTGTGAATAGAGTGAACAAAACGTAAAATAGTTTACGGGAAATCAAACAGGTGGGAGGAGGTTGTATTAGCATAGTAAAAACGGAAACTGATAAACCAGAGTTGCTTCACATCTAAGCTATCAAATTGTGACTCCCTAATTCTTTAGCTCAGCATAAGATTGTAATCTGTTGACCAGTATCTAAACTGTGATTTACATCAAACTTGTTCTCTCTCTCTCGCTTACTTCCATCCATCCATCCACTGGATCATGACTCTTTCATGCTAGTTTTTACACCAAAATTATTTTCAAATATTTTATAATTTCCAAAGAAAATATCAATCAGAAGGGGCTTCATTCCCGACAGTTTTTAGTACTTCTGAGCCTAATTGTTCTGCAAACTCATTCAACGCACGCACACACACACACGTTTACCAAACTTTGAGTCAGTCCTTGATTCAATAAAAAAATATCTCATCAGAACCTTGCTAAAATGGGTATCCTAGTCGTCGTCACCGAAAAAAGGGCTAACGTTTGATTCGTAATCCGAACTCGATGGCTAGGTGGTTTGTTCAGGATTGTTGATTCCCATCATACATTAGAGTCCTAACTGCGAACTCTATCCAGAAACTCGTCCAGGCAATTATTCATTGCATAAAATGACGTGAAACATAATAATGATAATAATAATAATAATAATAAGCATTGTTATGCTCATCGGTAATTTGGTTTGCATAGAGAAAGCAAGGAACACCGTGGCAACCATGTTACTAACAACAGTCGGACGCTTGGGTCATTCACAACGATCAGAGTACCCCAAGTCCGGTAATGGAAGATGGAACCCCGGATGGCAAATACGGAGCAGTCCCTATTCCGGCAGGTACAGGTTTATTCAGAAGTTGAAATTGTGGCTGGGGGAATCGCGGCGTGATTTGCACCGTAGTTCCCTTTAACTTGTCATTTGAACTATTCACTCCATCGGGACCACAGTCAGAATTAAATGTTTGTACTTTGTCACCACACGTCACGGTATGAATTGCCAAACAGGTACCAAGATCACGAAATAGATCTATAGGGAGTGGTTTGCTATCACCCGAAGGATTAAGTCCCAGTTATGCTACTCTTAACGGCAATCTATCCTATTTCATTTGAGTAAACTATTTTTTGTCGAGTTCAAAAACGGACTGCTTGGAGTTAATCGTCAATTTTTTCCCATCTATCCATTCATCCACCCACCCGTAAACCAGTCAAATTTGTTTTAAACATGATTGTTTTATTGACAAATTTACGGAAAGCCGGGTGCATCTTTTCGATCTTTCACAAGCACCAGGTACTGTTGATGATGTTGGTTGTGGGTTTCATTCCTTGGGAGATCGTTAATTCCCCACTGTTTTTATGCTGACGAGTCCCAAACAGGACGAAACAGCGGTTCAGTGCTCTTTGTTGATTATCACAAACAATTCCATCGTGTACAATAAGAATTTACTTTTTAAAAGTGAATCAGACAGGATATGGGCACCGTACTTTCATTTTTTCAGTGTTCTATTGGTTCCTCTTTAAGTTTAACAGTACAGGCAGTCGTTTTGTATGGAGTCAACGTAATTGACCCACCGCCAACAGCATTTACCAATTGCCCCCAATACAGACAGCATCCTGACCGTGGACGATCACTGTCGAGGTAGCTAACTTATCCCTGTTTCGAACACGGAGGAAAATAGTTCGATTAGATGCGGTAATTGAACAAATTCAACATTGAACTTGCCCTATCCAGAAACTGCATAAATGTTGAAACAAAACAATATTTAATGAGGTCTAAACGTTTTCTGCAGTCAACCGTTTTCATAACCAAATCAAAGAGTTGTGCATTTCAGAAAATAAGTCGAGTTCGAGGAATTTTTCACGAGAACAAATGAAATACGGACCCAGTTTTGTGACTTCCCGTCAATAACCAGAGAGACAATTTCATTGTGCATAATTACACTTATCGTTATAATGAGATTTATAGTCCTGGTATGATTAGCGAGGACCGAATTGTCTTTTTCTGTCTTTTCATATCGTTAACCTTTTTACAGACTCTGCGGTTATTTACTGGAACACGACACCCATTCTACTATCACTGTCACTATTCCTATCGGTGCTTTTAGTACTAATAACATCATCATCACTATTGTATGTGGTTTTGTAATGTGTAAAAATACCTCAATAAGATCGGGGTAATGATGTTGTTGAGGATACTAGTTGCGCTGTGGCAACAGTCCCTCCCTCNCCCCCCCCCCCCAAAAAAAAATAAAATGCATTCGATTGCATCGGGAAAAGATATACCAGAATCGAACACTCAGACAAATTTAACTTAATTGAATTGTGAATGGGGCGTGTGCGTGAGGGAGGGGTGAGTGATGACATCAAATGTAGACAGATTCACTGAACAAGAGTGCATCATTCAATCTATTGAGACTGTATCAAATGACTATACGAATGAAACAAATCATCGTGATGACTTACTTGCTTGTGTGATCTTCATTACCCAGACAGAAACCGGTGACACTTCGCGTCGAGTCGGTTGCACGATCACGTTGTCGTCGATTTTTGAACCAATTGGACACTTGTGTTGTGGTCAACCCGGTCGCCTCGGCCAATTCCCGTTTATCTCTTGGTGACGGGTACGGATTATGTGTGTACCATTCACGTAACAAAGTTCGTGATTTCTCTTTGAAACAATAACTTGTCTCTTCCCCGTCCCAAATCGTACGTGGTAACGGGTATTTCCGACGAATTCTGTACTTAGCCACAGCTCCCAGTGGTCGACCTTTGGCCCGCTCCTCTTCCGCATAGTGAGCACGTAACCACAATGATTGCAATCGGCCGTGATTCTCCGCGGAGAACGAATGTGCCTCGAGCAGGCTATACAATTCGGTATACTGACCACGATAGAACGCGACAGTCGCACGGGCCACCAATACACTTTCGAGCAACTGAACCGAATCATCTTTGGGTAACGATTGTAAAAAGTGTTCCATACGATCCACATCTTCACGTTGTTGTAGAACTTCACAGATACAAGCAATTTGTGAATCGTTAAAACACCACTCAGTCCCAGTGGGATTCGATTCGTCCGGATAATTGTTTGCATACGATTGATCCGATACGGATTGGGTGATATCAATCGAACACGTGGGATATGGTAATCCGGGGATCGGTGAAATGACTCCTCCTCTGTCCGAGGATATTGCGGAGATAAGTGAATTTCGACTATCCTGGGCCATGATCGATTGATCGGATAGTGAGACACAATTGACCGCGGTGTCTGCTGTGGTCGGGGCATAATGGGATCCGAGCCAACCGTGAGTGGATGGAGATGTAGCAAATACGGGTGGTGGTGGTGGTGGTGGTGGTAATGGAATACAAGAATGATGCACGGTCGAGGAGGTACCGTTCAAGTTTCGTGCCGATTCGATCGTA